CTTCAGAATAGGGATCTAAAAAGATGACTGGAAACTGTGAGCTTCACTACAAGGAGATCTGGCTTGGTTGTTTGATTGGGTAAGGAATAAGTATCTTTTATTTTTTCTCTTGCACTCATCATATTCCACAGAGAAGAATCTTGTACCCTCCACTATGTTGTTGTTGTTATGTGCTGTCGAGTCGGACCCGACTCATAATTGTAGTGACCCCTCCTTGGGTTTCTGAGGCATTATCACTACGGAAATAGATTGCCCCATCTTCCTTCCGAGGAGTGGCTGGTGGGTTTGAACCGCCAGCCTCCTGGTTAGCAGTCAAGTGCCTTAGGCACTATGCTACCAGAGCCCCCACCATCCACTATGGAAGAAATAATATAAGTAATGCTGCCAAAATTCTGAGAGCTAAGTAGGGGAGAAGGCTAGGAGAGGTGTTTTGTATATTTAGTAGATTTTTGTTTAATTTAAGGTATGATTCTTAAACAGACTTTCAACCAACTGCTTTATTTTCAGTTCCACTCTCATCCCTAGTTTTAGAAATACCTGGTACTTCCAATTCCTAAAGCCATTGAAGAATTACGTAGCGCAAATTGCTTTTCAATTTTCCCCACTGCTGGTTTGGGATTCAGCTGTTTTTTTTTTTTTTGGGGGGGGGGATCTACTAAGTTAGTTACCATTCTTCCTTCTGCTTTTCAACTTCCAAAATTTTATTCTTATCATCTGCTCTCCTGTTCTCATTGTCATCATGGCATCACATCTTTTTAAATAATTATTTATTATTTTAAAAATTATTGTTTACTTGCTTTTTGGTGAAGTTTCAGGAAAGAATGGAGGTGAATGCATACATTCAATCTGACATCTTGAACTGGAATTTCCACTGACTTTATTCATTCTTCAAGGCCCAGTTCAAATGGTACCTCCTGCAGGAAGTCCTCCTTGACCTTCTTTAAAATAGAGTTAATCCATTCAGTCATGGAATAGATGTTTATTAAGGGTTTCCTATAGCTTGGCAAGGAGCTCTGGTAGCACAGTGGCTAAAGCACTTGACTGCTAACCAGAAGGCTGGCTGGCGGTTCAAACCCACCAGCCACTCCTCGGAAGGAAGGTTGGGCAATCCTACTTCCGTAGTGATACTGCCTCAGAAACCCAAGGAGGGGTCGCTATGAGTCGGGGTCGACTCGACGGCACATAACAACAACAACAACAACAACATAGCTTGGCAGGAGCTCTGGCGGTATAGTGCCTAAGACATTTGACTGCTAACCAGAAGGCTGGTGGTTCAAATCCACCAGCCACTCCTCAGAAGGAAAATTGGGCAATCTACTTTCATAGTGACAGTGCCTTGGAAACCCAAGGAGGGGTCGCTGAGTTGCATCCAACTCAACAGCAATGAGTTTTATGAGTATAAGCTTGGCATTACATTAAATAATGCCTTTAGAGGAGGGTACACAGCCTAGTGGGTAATGTAAGACAATGAAGCAAGCACTCAAAATTTTGTGTGACAACTACTAGGGGAAACAAATGCCACAAAGAGGGCTATGGGAACCTATAAGTCTATAACCCAAACAGATAAGGTCAGATAAGAGACATGAGCTGAGACTTGGAGGTTAAGCAGGACTTAGGGAAAAAATGTAGAAAGAGGCATTTCAACTAGAGGAAACACCATGTGCTCCTCTCCAAGTCAAAGTGAACTTTCCAGAGCACAAAACCAACCACCCCACTCTTTCGGGAGGCCTTCTTTGGGGTCCAAGAGGACTTACCCATCCTGCACTAGAGTTGTTAGCTTGTCTCTCTCCCTCGCTAACTCAGAATGTGTAAGCTCCCTGAGGGAAGGTCCTGCCCAATTCATTTTTGGTGCTAAACCTAGGGTTTGGTAGGTCTGACACAGGGATTCACTGCTTGACAGCACTATTCCCCAGAAGAGATGAAAGCAAGGCTTTCTTACCAGAAAAAGAAACACACTCATTCATACTATTTCTTTGGAAATAGAGAAAGGAATACACAGTTTAAGAGAAATGTAGCCTCAGAGGCCACCCCAAAGAATCCTGATTCTTTTTCCAGGGGGGTTCAGGTTCCTCCCCTGAATTACTCTACTACCCCTCCCCTTCTACATGTACAGATCAGACTCTCTGCCCAGCCCTGGGATAATGGAGTATGGCTACCTCATTGCTCCATCCAAATCAGGCTCCAGGGTAAAAATCTGGAGATTCCACTCCCAGCATCCTGGTTGTGGAATGTGATTCTCAGATACTTGTTACTAGAAAGGTCTTTAGAGATCATCTAGTTCCAACATCCCACCCAATCCCCAGAGGCAGAAAAAGTGAGGCTAGAAGAGAGACAGGGGCCTACTTAAGATCACAGAGTAATTCAGAAGCAGAGCCAGGTCTTGAAGCCCTTCTGGCCTAATGCTTTTTCTCAAGCTACTCTGTGAAGGGTGGATTGTCATAGAAAAAGTTCCTTGAATGGGAGGTCCACTGTTTCTCCTTCCATCTATCCTAGCCTTTGGTTGCTTCTATTAACCTTTGAGTACAGGAAGGAGGCAGTAGGGAAGAGGCAGAGCTGACCACAGCCTCACAGGGAGGCCTGCCACTCCCTGCAAAGACAGTTGGGAAGGGGATAGATAGCTGAAGAGCCATCCTTTAAGGATTTAGAACAATCTTACCACCAGTGGCTGCAAGGGAAACCCCCCTGCCCCACTCCTTGTCCTCAGTTGGCCCAAGCCAGTGGTCAGGGCAGAGTGCATGAAGGGATCAATTAGGAGGGAGAAAGGAATGGGGTAGGGATCGTGGGTGTATATGAGGAGCCACTCCTTGTTTTGCTGCCCAAAAGAGTTCCTCCCTCCAGCCTCAGGCCAGGCAATGTCAAGAATTCAGAGACAAATCAGAAGTTAAATTTACCCCCTTTAAAGTTCACAGAAGGCTGGTGGTTCAAACCCACTAGCCACCTCGGAAGGAAGGTTGAGCAATCTACTTCCATGGTGATACTGCCTCGGAAACCCAAGGAGGGGTCGCTATGAGTCGGGGCTGACTCGAGGGCACATAACAACAACAAAGTTCACAGACAGCAGACAGCACTCTCCACCAAAGACAGAAAAGAGTGAGAGCCAGAGAGACTAGGCATGGCTCCTCCACTGACCACTTGTGTGAGCTCAGACAAGCCCCTTAACACCTCCAAGCAAGTTTCCCTATCTGTGTGATAGGAAAAATGATAACTACTTTTCTCACTTCAGTGACATAATGTCTTTAAAGTGCCTGACACAAAGCAGGTCTCAATGGTTAAGATGCAGTCAGACCACCTGGGTTCAAATCCTGACTCTGCTGTTTACTTTTTGTATGACCTTGGGCAGTTAACTTGCTCTGGTGGCATAGCAGATAAGGCATTTGGCTGCTAACCAGAGGTCAGCAATTCAAACTCACCAGCTGCTCCACAGAAGGAAGATGGAGCAATCTACTTCTGTAAAGATTTACCACCTCAGAAACCCAATGGGGGTTGGAACAGACTCGATGGCAGTGAGTTTGGTTTTTTTGGTTTGGGTAGTTTCTTAACCTCTTTGTGCCTCAGTTTCTTCGTCTATAAAATATCACTTACATAATGGGTTGTAAGAGAATATCTCGTAAAGTGCTGTATGATTCTTGACACTTGCACTCAGTAAAAGTTAGCTTTTTTTGTACTGTACCTTGGGGGAGGAGACTTGAGTCTGAGGTGAGGAAACAGACACTGATGGTGCTCCTATTCTGTGTCTGCTCTGGTTCTAGGAACTTTCAGATACAAGTGGAGGTGAGGGAACGTGGAGATATTGGGGTAAAACCAACACACCACCTCTCACCATCACCCCCCAGTGAGCACAGTTACAGCCCTGCTCTGGAGCATTTGTTGTTCATCTCAACCTTCAAGGCCAAGTGCACACTTAGCATTCAAGTTCCCCTAGGGAGCCTTCTCTGACTGCTCCGCCCACAAGATTCTCCTCCCAGCCTCTCCAGGCGGAAAGTAAGAACTCTAACTGGTCCGAGAGCCCTGTAATCTTCTCCCCCCATACCTCACAGCACAGCCTGGCACAGAGCTGGGCACACAGTGGGGCTCCAGGAAGACATTAGCTGACACACTCACTGTGGGCTCCTGGTTCTGGGCCAAAGAGGGGCTGGCAATTCCTCAAGTCCCTAGAACTGGCTGCAAAGTGATGGCAGGTGCAAATCCCAAGTACCCTGGGGAGCCTGTAGGGAGCGGTGCGGGGAGCAAGCAGCTGCCCTTTTGGCTCTGAATCTAGACCAGCAGCACCAGGGATGGGGGAGGGTGCCTGTTCCTCCTCTTCCCCAAGGAGATCCAGACAAATCCAAATGTCCAGTGCACCTTGGAGGAGGAGACTTGAGTCTGAGGTGAGGAAACAGACACTGATGGTGCTCCTACTCTGTCTGCTCTGGTTCTAGGAACTTTCAGATACAAGTGGGGGTGAGGGAATGTGGAGACATTGGGGTAAGGGAGGCAGAATGTTTTTAGTGCTTCTGGTCCAGGCAGTTTTCAGTAGACATGCCCCTCACCAAACTCTTCCATGCTGAATCCTGTCCTGAATATTGGAGCCTGAGCTGAACCAAATCCTTTCCCAGTCCTCAAAAATCTCCGTTTGGAGATGAAGAAAAAACGGGAAGTATAAACTATAAAGGGGAGTGGGGTAGGAACAGGTGGTCCCTGCATGGATTATTACTTCGTTTCACAGTGGCTTCCCAACCCTCTTTTGCCCACTCCCATTTATTTGGCAGGGTAACTTCCTAAAGCCTGTACCTAGCACCCCAAGTCCTCAGGACCCACCAAATACCCCACTTACCCTTGGGGACGATCAATGTATATCACTCTACCTCCACTCCAGGTTTTATAGATAGACTTGGGTGGGATCCGGAGGGGTAGGCGAGGAGTTTTAACTCCCTCCTTTTTCCAGCCCAACTCTGGGGGCATCAGTCCGTTCGGCCCTATGCTGGGAACTCCGACCCCCGGGCCCGTGGAGCGACACTCACCAGCTCCATCCTCAGCGCCACGATCTTGTCCGCCAGGCCATGGCCTGTGCTAGGTGCCCCAGGGAGCAGCAGGGCGCCAGCGGTCCCTGGCTCCCACTCGCCTCGAAGCCCGCGGAGCAGCCCTTCAGGGGTCTTCCTCCCCACCTTGCCCTCCACGTCTCTCAGGTCGGGCGTCTGGGACTCCGCGGATCCCTCCATGCGGATCCAAGCCTGAGAAGTGCTGGGGACCGAACTCAGGGGTCTCGTTCCCGGGGGTCCTCCTATCTCCGCCGCTGATGCGGAGCGGAACGGGTGGGTCCCCGCCCGCGCGGCGCGGGGGGAGAAGGGTACCGTAACACTCAGAAAAGCAGCGCACAGCCATACATGTATTCGAATGCTGCGCACACAACCTCTGGCCCAGGAATGCGTGTGGCTGGGCGAATACGTACTGGATTTGTACCTAAAGCACCTAGGAAAACTTCAAATCTTCTCTCCACTCTGCCACGGAACCCAGCCAGGCACACATCAGGCGCTCAATAAATGAGTGCTGAACGAAGGCTAAGCATCTTAGTCACTCAGGGATGTGGAATGTTAAAGAACAGTAGAGTACCAGAGGGCTGCACAGGATTTTGGAAACCTTCCTGGAGCAGAAGACTCCAAAAAAGACAAACTCATTGCCATCAACTCATATCAGACTCACTCGTAGTGGCCCCTCCTTGGGTTTCCGAGGCACCGTATTTCTAGGAAGTTTATTGCCCAGTCTTCCCTCCAAGGAGTGGGTGGTGAGTTTGAACTGACAGGCTTCTGGTTGGTAGTCAAATGCCTTAGGCACTATGCCACCAGAGCAGGGCCTAAAATAAGGGCAGATTTAGCTAGTCACTGACACAAACACTTCAATACTAGCCCCCAGTGGCTAAAATTTAGATGGAGGGAGCAGAAAGTAAAGTCCTCCTGGCCATAAGAAGCTACACATAGTGCTGAAGATGGAGCAGTTCACATGGACCAAATTATGTTGGCTCTTGTAGACTGGTGCTTCTTAAATTTAATTGTGCATATAAATAATCTATGAATCTTGTTCTGTAAGTAGTGAGGCCTGAGATCCTGCATTTCCGGCAAGCTCTCAGATGTTGGCCATAGACCATATTTTGAGTAGCAAGGTTATGGGCAATGAGGAAGTACTGGATTTTTTTTCCCCTTGTTTTTTATTTGTAAACTAAGTAATTCCAGGCTATGGTTATAAAAGGAGTTACAATGAAAAAATTACTCTTGCCTTTCCTTTCCCACCTCTAGTCCTATTCCCAATAGGCAAATGCTTTATATATGTATATATACACACACACACATATATAAAAGAAAACCCAAACCCACTGCCAAATCATCAAGTTGATTCTGAGTCATAGTGACCCCCATTGGGTTTCCAAGGTGGTAACCCCCATCTTCCTTATGCAGAGCAGCTGGTGGGTTTGAACTGCCAACCTAGCAGTGAAATACCTTAGGCACTGTACCACCAGAGCTTTTATATATATGTGTGTGTGTATGTGTGTGTGTGTGTGTGTGTGTGAATATATGTGTATATATGTATGTACATATGTATATATGCAGTATATAGGCTTTCATATATATATGAAATATATGCAATATATACTATATATAATACATATAATAGATGATAATGTGTGTGTGTGTGTGTGTATATATATATATATACACACACACACCCATAATTCTAAACCATAGGCTTTTACTTTTATTTCTTGATTTTAAGCATTGTCTTCTCACTTATTACGATAAAGACGGATTTAACTCACATCCTGTGCTTCCCTTCCTCTACTGGCCCTATATACTTTTATCACTATTTTTAGTTCATTTAATGGTGACCTTTATAATTTCAGGGAGCTCTGGTGGTGTAGTGCCTAAGGCATTTGACTGCTAACCAGAAGGCTGGCGGTTCAAACCCACCAGTCACTCCTCAAAAGGAAGGTTGGGCAATCTAGTGATACCTCCTCAGAAACCCAAGGAGGGGTTGTTATGAGTTGGATTGGACTCAACAGCAGTGAGTTTGGTTTTGGTTTATAATTTTAAGTGACATATTGTTCCTTAAACAATCACATCATTCATGGAAGGGTTTTAAGTCAAAGATTGATGAAAAACACTTGCATTTTTGAAATTTACTCTGGATTTTGCAAGGAGAAAGGATTAAACTCATTGCCATGGAGTCAGATCTGACTCATAGTAACCCCTCCTTGGGAGTTAAAGGTGGTATCTCTATGGAAGTAGATTGCCCAATCTTCTTCTGAGGAGTGGCTCGTGAGTTTGAACCACCAGCCTTCTAGTTAGCAGTCAAATTCCTTAGGCACTATGCCACTAGAGCTTCAAGGAGAAAGGATTGGAGCAGTAAAAATGTGGAGTTCAAGAGGCCAGTTAGAAGATGAGAAACTGAAATGGCCTGGACCAGTGGGCTGGTTGTGTGGTTGGGGAAGAATTAGACCAGTATGAGTCTCATTAGAAGATATGATTGACAGGACTTGGTGACTGGTTAAATTAATCTATTTATGGTGGAATACCATAAATTTTTGTTCAAAGGAAGAATAAATGGTTTCAATAAATATTATGAGGTGCCTAGAATGTGCTAGGAGCCCTGGTGATACAAGTTAACTGTTCTGCTGCTAACTGAAAGGTTGGCAACTCCAACCAACCTAGTGGCTCCCCAGGAGAAAGACCTACTGGATCTGTTCCTATAAAGAATGTTGTGTTGATTCTGACTTGCAGTGACCCTATAGGATAGAGTACAGAGTAGAACTGTCCCATAGGTTTTCCTAGGCTGTACATTTTTACAGGAGCAGATCACCAGATCTTTTCTTCTTCAGAACCTCTGATGGGTTCAAACTGTTGACCTTTTTTTTTATTGTGATTTGGGTGAAAATTTATAGAGCAAATTCACTTTCCATACAACAGTTCACATACACTTTGTCTCATGACATTGACTACAATTTACCCCAATGCAACAACTCCTGTCCCACTTCCTCCCAATAGTTACCTCTTCCCTGTGTCTAACCCTCCAAGCACTCCTGCCCCCTGAGCTGTCTCCCTGTGCATAAACAGTCCTTCTTTCTCCTCAAACTTAGCAGCTAAGCACTTAACCATTGTATCACCAGAGTTCCTTCCCTATAGGGCAGTTCTGTTCTGTCACATTGGGTCACTATGAATCCAAAATCGACTCGGCAGTACCTAATACCACTACTGTATGCTAGCTGGTATGTGTGGTGTGGAGAACATGTTATTGTTGTGTGCTGTTGAGTCAATTCTGACTCATACCGGCCCTGTAACACAGGACAGGGTGGAACTGCAGAGCTGGTGGTGGGTTCAAACCACCAACTTTTTTGTTAGGGCCAAGTGCTTTGACCATTGTTCCACCAGAGCCCCCTGCGGGGAATATCATGGTAAGCAAACAGACCCAGACTGGGGACTGGAGAAAGAAGGGATCAAATATGGCTTACAGCTGTTTGACTTATGATTGGCTGTTTGGAGTGATTCAGCAAAGAAGGAAACCTAAGAAGAGGTCTGGGAGTGGGAGGAGGTAATTCCAGCAGGAGTCATGAAATGGAGGGGGCTGTGGAAATGTCCAGAGCCCCTAGATAGTGCAATTGGGTAAATGCTTGACTCTCAAAGGTTGGCGGTTTGAACTTACTCAGGTGCCTCAGAATAAAAGCCTGGCAATCTGCCACTGGAAGGTCACAGTCATGAAAACCCTCTGGAGCAATTCTTCTCTGCACACATGGGGTTGCCGTGAATCAGAACCAACTCAACAGCAACTTGGTTTGGTGGAGATATCTAGCAGGCACTTGGACACATGAGTCAGCTGAGGAAAGAGGTTAGGGCTGCAAATGTGAGTTTGGAAATCTAGATAGTAACGAAGGTCATGAGAGTGGGTGAGATCTTTCATGGAGAATGAGTTTGAGAAGACAACGAGGGTTAAACAGGAACACAGAAAGACATCTTTTTAAAATGTTAGTAAAGGGGAGAGGGAACAATGCAAAAAAAATAATTCTAAAAATAAAATAAATAACATGTAGGTAAAGTGTGTTGGGTTTTCTTCTATTCTAATATATATGTGGGAGTTCTGGTAGCGTAGTGCCTAAGGCACTTGACTGCTAACCAGAAGGCTGGTGGATCAAACTCACCAGCTATTCCTCAGAAGGAAGATGGGGCAATCTACTTCCGTAGTGATACTGCCTCGGAAACCCAAGGAGGGGTTTCTATGAGTCGGGTCCGACTGAATGGCATACAACAGCAACAATATATACTTATCAGGAAAAATCACCAATTGCCTCAATTCCTAAGATAAATACTGTTAATATTTTGGGGGATTCTATTCCACCATTTAAGAGCAGATAGAATAGAAAGAGCTCAAAAATATCTGACTCCTGGCTTCCTCTAATGTCTCCTTTCAATCAATTCCTCACAAAACATTAAAGGTCCTCTTAAAGTATAACTCAGACTATGTCACTCCCCTGCTTAAAATTGTTCCATGGCTACCCATTAACTTCAAATAGAAACTTGTAAGAAATGCTAAATCTCATCCTAGACTAGATTATTGAATCAAAATCCCTAGAAATGCAGTGCAGCAATGTCTTTTAACAAACTCCTACCTGGTTGATTCTGCTGCAAGCTAAAGTTTAAGAGCTAATCTGTCAGGCTCCCTGGTGGTATAGTGGTGTAGTGGCATTTGACTGCTAAACAGAAGGTTGGAGGTTCAAACCCACCAGCCACTCTGTGGAAGGGAGATAGGGCAATCTACTCAGAAACGCAATAGGGGTTGCTTTGAGTTGGAATTGATTTGATGGCAGTGAGTTTGAGGGTTTTTTTTTTGTTTTGTGTTATGCTAAAGGAAGCTTGGTGGCACACTGGATAAAATGCTGGGCTACTAATTGAAAAGTCAGTGGTTCAAACTCTACCAGCAGCTCTGTGGGAGTAAGAAGTGGCAATCTGCTTCCATAAAAATTTACCACCTTTGAAACCCTATGTGGCAGGCAGTTCTACTTTGTCCTATGAGGTTGGAATGACTCAATGGCAGTGGGTTTGGTTTTGGTGTCAGGCTAAGTGCTTTCTATGTATTATTTCATTTAATATTCACAACAACTGAGTAGTATCATTGCCAATATAGAGCAGAGCTGAATCTGGAGCCAGGCTGCCTGCGTTTGATTCTCTTCCAACTTTGT